ACTGGCGATCATGCCTCTCCACAATCTGCGATCTCCTGCAGCATGTATTAGTTCGTGTGCCGACACACCTTCATGCCATGCAACAAGACTGTCAAGAATCTTCTCTCGTTGTCTTCCTCTATTCCTCACTTCCACAGATCTTTCCAGTGGAAAAATCGACTAAATGGGGGCTTCTTTTGAAGCTGGAGTACATCTGCCTGAGAGACAATAAACAGTCCGCTGGCAAATGACTCGACATGTGAAACGGATGTGCACGCATCATTCAGTTTCTGGAACAGGACTAGAGTCCAGAAGTGGACGAACAACCAACACTTTCCGCTGGAGTTTGAAGCCGGTGAATGCGAAGAAGAAGGAGAAAAAGAAGATCTCGTTAAAGGTTCGACATCACAGCATTCACAACAAACCCATGTTAGCTCTGTCGCTCACATCATCAGCCAGCGAAAGTCTCCATTCCATGGTTAACTACTCGTCTTGCCCCCCCCCCCCGAGTCTCGTGTGGCTTCCTAGATCTCACAGACACTCGCTACTGCAACTGGCACTTGGGAGCTTCACTCCTGCAAATCCCCCCCCCCCCCCCCCCGGTTTTTTAAAAGAGGATGTTATCCTTTATCCATATATAGAAATTCTATATAAAAGTATTTGTTTATGCATTCCATACTATTACATTTCAAATATATGATTAATATCATATGGAACACATTACTATTATTATTTATGCTTTTTATCTAGAGGGCAAAAAGGAAGTAGAGACAAGAGGACATACAAGACAACAACACAGTTTTTTTCATGGTGACAAGTGCGTGGTGGAAGAGAGAGAGAGAGAGAGAGAGAGAGAGAGAGAGAGAGAGAGAGAGAGAGAGAGAAGGAGGGGGGTAACTCAATAGTTTTTTTTACATAAGGGGGCAAGGAGGGTTGGGGGGGGGGGGGTTAAGGGCCCTGAACACCACCACTTTCACTAAATTTTTTGACTAGGTGGTGAGAGGGCGTTGTCGTGTGGACGGTCTTGCTTGGCCAAGTTAGATATGAACGACGTTTCTTTTCTTCGAGAGACCTACAATCTGCTGTACTGAAATAAGCCAGGTCTAGAGGATACAGCACGTAAACGTCTAGAAGAAGAAGAATCTGCGAAATCAATAAGAACATAACATCTCAGACACTCTGTAAAACTGTATAACATTAGTATTAGACCACGAATACGAAACTGAACTACCCTAACTTCCAGCACTATAGTGCGTTGCTATATATAGAGTTTAACCATAACATGACCTATTTAGGATGTTAACATCCAGGTTCGCCCTAAATATACTGCAGTTGTTACGAAATATTTACTAATCAACATCTAAAATAAAATACACTGCCCAAATATATTCTGAATGTACAATGCAATAAAACAATTTAAATATAGTTATCTGTTTTACACAAGTTGGCTAGATGTTATAAATTTGAGATAAAAATATTCATGTATGTCAGGATGGCCGAGTGGTCTAAGGCGCCAGACTCAAGGTTTACTACCTTCCCTGTTACAACAGGGTTGAGTGTTCTGGTCCACGAATGTGGGCGTGGGTTCAAATCCCACTTCTGACAATTTCTTTTTTTTTAATTTGAAGATTTTTATAGTTAGTGCTTTCGAATGTTACATTAAGTGAATAATCAGTTTTGGGGGAGAACTTAAATAAAATTGTGTTGTAGAAGATAAGATTTAAAAGTGCGCGTCAAAATTTGTAGATCAAAATACAGACCGTATAAACATGGGAAGGTTTGTAATCTAACCTCCTAGATAACTTAGCCACCCTGACATACGAGATGTCCGAATGAATAAATAAATTGATATCTCTGCACTCGGATCATTTCCCTTCGTGGTATGCCGCGTTCCCTGTAGCCAACGAAAAGTACACATACTCATTCGAGCAGGACTTTTCATTCTGGCGGTACCTGGAGCGGGGATTTCTGTCACAGGAGCTAGGGAAAGCTAAGACCGTTGTGATGTTATCCTGTCATCTCCTTGTGGTATGCAATTTTTCGTTATTTGAAGCCCTACTCAGGCTCTTGCCAGGGGCCGCAATATAGCCCTGTCATAAATATGGTCTAATGGCTGAACGCGGTTTCTGGGATCTCTCCACGGTGATCCTCATCCGCATGGTGGCACTTTGTGTCATCGGGTGTTTATCGCTTGCGTGATGTCGTAGTGGTGTATAAAATATCCTCTCAATTAAGGAGATACTCTTTGCCTCACCAAGAGCGCCAGCCTTCTCTGTGTTGGTTTTACGGATCCTCAAGCAAGACTCCTGCCACATGTCCACATCGTGGGCTACGGGTAATGGCTCACATTTGTGACCTTAACCGAGTCGGAGGTGGTAGCTCAAAGAGATGAAATGTCTGGTCTGGCTTTCATCAGCTCACCCCCAATGCGAGGCTTAAAACGTCTATCAAAAATTATTTAGAGCATGAGTAAAGCCCGCTAACCGAATATGCTTAGCAAATGACAAATGTGGGTTAAAACTATCTGTCGAGTGAAAGAATTACTGAACTTGCTGATACTCAACCCCAGACGAAGAGATTTGCTAGCAGCTTTGACGAGAAGTATCTTTTTCTTCTTTCGTTCGCCTGAAATAAGTTGTCTATATCAGCAGTTTTGTCTCTTGTATAAATTTCACTGTCGTTGTTAGTTCATTCAGTGGTCCATAGAGTTTACGCGAGAAGTATCTCCTGCAGGCGGTATTTTATGGTACAGTTCTGTCTCTGTACACCAGTTCTCGATTCTCAACATTGTCGTCACTGCGTTGAGCTATACCAAGACAATCTTCCACTGTCAGACAGATGGTTAGGCTCAAAAGTCCGTCAGATAATGTCCCATGGCAATATCAGCAAAGTCCTAATAGATATCTGACCCTCAAAAGACTGGCATAAAATTAAACATTTCTGCTACCACTGGCCCCATTCACCAGAGCAAGGTTAGTTGCGTATCCTTTACTGGACGTTGGAGAATCAACCCTAGCAGCCCCTGGCTGTTGTGTGGTTTCTCTAGGCAAATGAACGCCCAGTAGTTTGCCATTGCTTCCTCGACGGTCGGCTCCCTGATTCCACTGTCGAAACCAACGCAATGCGCATGGCCCGCAGCTAGAATCGAACCCGGCACCCCAGCATTACGAAGCGTTCGCATCGACAGCCACAGAGCCGACTTTCAACAGAGTATGTGGACCGAATAGGGAAAGTCATGCCAGGTGCATGCTTTTCTAGGCTGTCGTGCTAAGTGTCCTGATAAAGCACTGTAACAGGTGCTTAATATGCTAAAGTGGTCCCGGTCATGCTGGCTGCTCCCTGTTGATCTTCGGAGGGCGCAGTCCGTGACGAATGGTATGCTCAACATGTGGATGTGGAGTCAAGCAGTCATGTACAACAGGACGTGACGGTCTCTTGGGTGTGTCGGTTCTGCATTTATGGAAGCCTCCCTGAATGACGGGGAATGCCCATAATCTGCCTCTGCCTTCCCTTGAGGACCGACCATTCTAAATACAGTTGCCCTGTGTGGGTTCTTTAGGTGCAAAACATGTAGACAAGGAGAACACCACAACAAATTGTCAGAAGTGAGATTTGAACCCACGCCCACATTTGTGGACCAGAACACTCATCCCATGACTTTGGGAAAGTTATGAACCTTGAGTCTGGCGCCTTAGACCACTTACCGCCAACTCCTTAAAAATGACGTATAGTTCTATAAAATATGTAGAAAATTAATGAAACTGTAGTTTAATTTGTGTATACATCTCCTCAATAAAAACTGTTAACACAGAGGGGCTAAATTCTTGCACAAGAACGGGAATCCCCGTTGACCCAGTTGGTCTATTTATAGCTAAAGATGGCCGTGGACCACTCGGCCACCCTGACCACGGCCAACTCTAGATATAAATTTATATACAGCCGGACGTGTCCTGACATAATTAAATAGTTATTTATCTAGTGTACGACGGCACTACTTCTAAACAGGGTGACATTTTTTTTTAAAGAAAAAAAAAAATAATAATCCCGTTTTCACCACAAAGTGTCTTAGGAAAATGTTTCGGTCCTGTGAAAGTAAAAACTGCTGGCGTAATGCTGAATACATTACCCAACTAGTGCCGATTGATCTGTAACAATATGGGTGCTCTTCCCATGGCATAAAAAGGGATCTTTAATTTTTTTTGGTTTTTATTAGTGGTTGCCCAGACATTTCTCCATCTCTTTTGAAATAATCCTATTTTATATTCAACATTTTCCTCGAGGACCGACCATTCTAAATGCAGTTGCCATCTGTGGGTTCTTTAGGTGCAAAATATGTAGACAAGGAGAACACCACAACAGATGAGGCACCTGAAACTATCCGGGAATCTAAACTGGTCAACAAATGCTCGATGAAGTCAGATGTGTCGGCCAAAAGGCGCAAATAGCGCAGCTCTTTTGTAAATATTCACAACAGACTCATACCCTTTTAAGAAATACCGAAACATTTTCATAAGACACTTTTAGTGAGAACTGGATAATTTTTTTTTTTTTTTTAGTTACCCTGTTTAAAAGTAATATGCCGTCGTATACTAGATAGATAACTATTTTACTATGTCAGGATGGCCGAGTGGTCTAAGGCGCCAGACTCAAGGTTCGTAACCTTCCCATAGTTATGGGATGAGTGTTCTGGTCCACGAATGTGGGCGTGGGTTCAAATCCCACTTCTGACAAATTTTTTTTTAATTTTTTAAAATAAATATTTAGTATCATATATTTTTCCAAGTGCAAATATGTGTAGAAAGGGGGTGGGGGGTGGGGGGGGGGGGGGCCTGCAACAGATTGTGGATGATTTTTGTATGTACAATAATATAGTTGTCAAATGTGTTTTCAACAGGTACATTCTGTCACATGCCAGGGGGCGCTGAAACCTTGGTAAGCAGTCTGTCACATCCCAGGGGCGCTGAAATCTGGGTAAGCATACCGTTACATCCCAGGGGCGCTGAACCTGGGTGAGCATTCTGTCAGATGCCAGGGGTGGCGGAAACATGGGTGAGCATTCTGTCACAACCCACGGGTGCTGAAACCTGGGTAAGCATTCTGTCACATGCCAGGGGTGCTGAAACCTGGGTAAGAAGTCTGTCACAACCCACGGGTGCTGAAACCTGTGTAAGCATTCTGTCACATGCCAGGGGTGCTGAAACCTGGGTAAGCATTCTGTCACAACGCACGGGTGCTGAAACCTGTGTAAGCATTCTGTCACATGCTAGGGGTGCTGAAACCTGGGTATGTATTCGGTCACATGCCAGAGATGCTGAAACCTGGGTATGTATTCGGTCACATGCCAGAGGGTGCTGAAACTTGGGTTTGAATTCTGTCACATGCCAGGTGTGGCTGAAACCTGGGTAATCATTCTGTCACATGCCAGGTGTGGCTGAAACCTGGGTAAGCATTCTGTCACATGCCAGGTGTGGCTGAAACCTGGGTAATCATTCTGTCACATGCCAGGTGTGGCTGAAACCTGGGTAATCATTCTGTCACATGCCAGGTGTGGCTGAAACCTGGGTAAGCATTCTGTCACATGCCAGGTGTGGCTGAAACCTGGGTAAGCATTCTGTCACATGCCAGGGGTGCTGAAACCTGGGTAAGCATTCTGTCACAAGGCACGGGTGCTGAAACCTGTGTAAGCATTCTGTCACATGCCAGGGGTGCCGAAACCTGGGTAAGAAGTCTGTCATAACCCACGGGTGCTGAAACCTGGGTTTGTATTCGGTCACATGCCAGGGGTGCTGAAACCTGGGTGTGCATTCGGTCACATGCCAGAGGTGCTAAAACCTGGGTATGTGTTCGGTCACATGCCAGAGATGCTGAAACCTGGGTATGTATTTTGTCACATGCCAGGGGGTGCTGAAACTTGGGTATGAATTCTGTCACATGCCAGGTGTGGCTGAAACCTGGGTAAGCATTCTGTCACATGCCAGGTCTGGCTGAAACCTGGGTAAGCATTCTGTCACATGCCAGGTGTGGCTGAAACCTGGGTAAGCATTCTGTCACATGCCAGGTGTGGCTGAAACCTGGGTAAGCATTCTGTCACATGCCAGGGACACTGAAACCTGGGTAAGAAGTCTGTCACATGCCGGGTGTGGCTGAAACCTGGGTAAGCATTCTGTCACATGCCAGGGGTGGCTGAAACCTGGGTATGAATTCTGTCACATGCCAGGGGGTGCTGAAACCTGGGTATGAATTCTGACACATGCCAGGGGGTGCTGAAACCTGGGTATGCATTCGGTCACATGCCAGAGATGCTGAAACCTGGGTAAGAAGTCTGTCACATGCTAAGAGTGCTGAAACCTGGGTAAGAAGTCTGTCACATGCCAAGAGTGCTGAAACCTGGGTAAGCATTCTGTCACATGCCAGGGACACTGAAACCTTGAAACCTGGGTAAGCACTTTGTTACATGCTCCCCTCCCTCCTTTTCCAAGTGCAGACACTTAAAAAAAAATGTTTTTTTAAAAATAATTTTATATTACTGTAATTCCTTGTTAACAAGAATGTCAGGGGACCAACAAAGCAAGAGTTATTGTTAATAAAGTTCATGCTAACAGGGGATTTATAATATACATCCTTGCTGGGACCAACATTTTGTTCATCTCCAACTGAATGTTTGTCTTAAGTGATTTTTTATATTACTATATTAATTTTAATACTGCCTGCATCATATTATCATTAAAATAAAGGATCCCTTACCAGCATTTAGAAGTGTTGGGCACATATTGCTAGATCTAAATGTTTTAGATCAAGTCGCATTCACCTTTACTTCCCAGGACTTAGCCTTATACCCATTTAAGGCTGGGTAAATCTGGGAGCCAAGGTTATTTCTGACAAAAGTCCTGCTCTGTTGGGAGGAACCAACGGTCTTTTTAAAAATAAGCCAGATCTGTAAAATGGATATGCACACAAAACTCAAGTTCTTGAACAAAACCAAAATCAGGAAGTGGACAAACAATCGGAACTTTCCGCCAGACTTTACTGCCAGTGAATGCTAAGAAAAAGAGGATTGTAAACACTTACTGAACAGAAACTAGAATTTCCAGAAATTTAAAAATGTGTTTTAATGTAGCAAATGTAATCAAAAACACAAGCATATCAGGACGGCTACATTCTCAAATACACAAACAAACATCTCTCAACATTCTGGTAACAGAAACATCATACATGAGACAATAAACATAATCGCTGTGTCGGTTCTGCGGCCCCATTTTGGGGGAAAACAAGGAACAGACGCTGTGTAGAAGCATCTAGTAAAAGTCAACTAATTAGGGGTGTTTCCTTCAAAGTCGAGTGCATCTGCATGAGAAGCGAGGACCAACAGTCTGCTTAAAAGTAAGGCAGATCTGTAAATTGGATGTGCACACAAAATTCAAGTTCTTGAACAAGGCCAAAGTTTGGAAGTGGATGAACAACAAGAACTTTCTGCCCGAGGTTATAGTCAGTGAATGTGAAAAAGACGAGGAAGAGGAAGATCAAACATGTGGCTGTATGTGTGAGTGTCCAAGGAAGGAAGGACAGCACGACTAAACAAGAAGAATAGTTTAAAAAAAATATATATATATTAACACAGTTATGTTCAATGTTGGTTTAATTTTATACAGGGCAATCATAGATATGAATGTTACGGTCGTCTGAAACGGAGACAATTTTGGTTCCAGCTGGATTGTACTTGACATCCCAAACCTGTAACATCGGAGAGGAAAAACAGAAATACATTAATAAACCACAACTTAAAATAATTTTTCTTCTTCCTTTTTTGTTCAGTGTCTTGCCAATTAATATGTTTGTTCAGGCCCTTCCCCAACTTTCATTTCCTTCAAATGATTTTAATTCCTTTTCTGGAATCTGTCCATTTCACCCATGATACAAAACATTTAAGTATTTTTTTTATCTATCTATGACTCTTCATCTGACTCTCCTATAATATTTGAGTATCATTATCATCATTGTCATGCTGTGCCATTATATATCTGTTGTTGTTCGTCCATCACCAGTGATGAAGACCACTTGCATCCAAAGCAGTAATGATCAATGATGTACAAAGGTGGCTGATTAGTTCTTGAGCAGTGCGGACAACAGATGGAAGCTGCAGTAAGTGTGGGATTAGCAGTACGATTCTTTCTAGTCTGCCTCCGTTTCTCTGCTTGTGCAACCTCTGCTGCCATTATTTATCACAAAGGGCTTGCAGCCTATTCCTCCACTCAGTTCTATCCTGCGCAATCCCTTAGATATCAGGGATGGAATCCTGCGCAATCCCTTAGATATCAGGGATGGAATCCTGTGCAATCCCTTAGATATCAGGGATGGAATCCTGTGCAATCCCTTAGATATCAGGGATGGAATCCTGTGCAATCCCTTAGATATCAGGGATGGAATCTTGTGCAAACCCTTACATATCAGGAATGGAATCCTGCGCAATCCCTTAGATATCAGGGATGGAATCCTGCGAAATCCCTTAGATATCAGGGATGGAATCCTGTGCAATCCCTTAGATATCAGGGATGGAATCCTGTGCAATCCCTTAGATATCAGGGATGGAATCCTGTGCAATCCCTTAGATATCAGGGATGGAATCTTGTGCAAACCCTTACATATCAGGAATGGAATCCTGCGCAATCCCTTAGATATCAGGGATGGAATCCTGTGCAATCCCTTAGATATCAGGGATGGAATCTTGTGCAATCCCTTAGATATCAGGGATGGAATCCAGTCCAGCGCCTTAGGCCTCTGACATCATTTTTTTTTATTTCTTGCTACCTCCGTCCATTTATTTTCCATTTTAGTTCCTGTTTGGTGATTATCTGCATGTTTCTTCTTAGGATGTGTCCAGTATAGCACAAACTTCTTTGTCTTATATAACTGGTTGCCCAGACATTTCTCCATCTCTTTTGAAATAATCCCATTTCATATTCAACATTTTCTTCAGGCATTTATTTTCTAATGCATTTAACTTTTATTTCATATCTTTAGTGATTCTCTAACTTTCAATGGCATATGTTAAAACTGAAACAACAATAGAACTGAAAATACATAATTTGGTTTAAAACCATACAATTTAGTTTTATATTTTGTTCAAGCTTTTTAAAGCTGCTGATGCCTTGCAGTGGACGTCACAATTTTTGTTTTATTGACCATCAAAACACAATAGGACAAGTATGCATGCTGGAGAACACTGGGCGAGGAGAGAAGTGGGTCAGAGTACCACAGGAAAATTTTGACCTGTGTAGCGTTATGATCACATTGGGTCGAGAGTGCAGAGAGTGGGTAGCGGTTGCTACGGAGGTGGAAATCCAACAGTTGATTCACGACAATTAACATCCAGGTGATCTGATTATCTATACAGATGGTTTAGTGTTGAGAGTAAAAAGAAGTGCCTGGGGGTTCACGAAAGCCAATGGAAAATCTTTAGTGCAAGACAGCTTGGCATTCAACAACATGCTAGCACGAGAATGGAGGTGGAGGCGGTAACTGCACTCTCCAGTGGCTAGAGAACAAGATGCATACATATGTCGTAATTGGAACAGACTCAAAAGGCATGCTAAGAAAGATGAAGACAGGGATGCTTTGAGCAGAGTGGCAAGCTTTACTGGGAAGGACACGGGTAGTGAGCATACTTTGGATCTTTTTTCCAGGCCATGCCGGCATAGTGGGTAATGAACAGGTAGACAGATTGGCTACAACAGATCAACGAATTACTCTTTGCAGATGACCAGGCCTTGATAGCAGATACAGCCATGAAATTGCAACAACATCTAACATCCATGAATGAAGAATGTAAAACAAATAATATGAGAATCAACACTGAAAAGACAGAAGTAATGTCAATAGGAAAAAAGAAGACAGATCTAAACATAGCAATAGAATACAAAGGCATTAAACAGGCATCTGAGTTTAAATATGTGGGAACTACATTTACCGAAGATGGGAAATTGGATAAAGAAATTGACATTAGATGCAGTAAAGCAAACCAAGTATTGGAACAGCTAGCCCCCCTCTTACAGCATAAGACAATCCCAATCAGCACAAAGAGACATCTTATTCAAAGCATATTTATTCCAACTCTGTGCTACCAGTGCCAGACATGGTCACTCACAACAAACCATAAAAGAAAATTAGTAACCACGGAAATGAGATGTCTGAGAAGGGCTGTAGGAGTGACCATAAGAGATAAGATCAGGAATGAGATCATAAGAGAAGAAGTCGGCACAGAACTAATTCTGGATGACATACAAAGACAGCAAGTGAAATGGTTTGCCCACTTAGAGAGAATGCCTTGTGACACCATACCATACAAAGCATACATTGAAAGAGAAGAAGGACGTAGAGCACGGGGTAGACCAAGAACAAGATGGAAGGATAACATCAGAGAAACTCTACAACAGCACGATGTGCCTATGGTCGAGGCAGCCAGAAGAGCTAGAAACAGAACCTTATATCTCCCTCAACACCCACAGCGGTAAAAGAGGAAGTGAAGAAGAAGAAGAAGAAGACAGATTGGCTGGATCTGCACAACTGGGTGGTAAATTAATACATGACAAGGCAGATAATGTCAAGGCCCTTTGGGAACAAGCAACGGAATCAGTAGAGAAACAAGATTATTAAGGCCTAAAGAGAATGAGGTACCTGGGTGTAACCAGAGGGTCTGGCCGGCTCACTACACTCAGAGGAAAGGCAAGATGGACATATAACCAAATTGTGACCATACTATCATTACTGGAACTCTGCACTGGCTGCTGAAGATGAGGACGGAGCACGCATGGGAATGCCTAGAGTGCTGTGATGTCAATTATTGACTCAACTCAACTCTGACCATCAAAATTACTAAATCAATAAGTAAACTGATCTGTAACTTGAATTCTTTCTGTCTCTAGTATTACATCTGCTTAATAAATCACTAGTGTCCTCAACGCATGTGTTGTTTCATAACTTATTTGTTGTCCAACTACTGATGCTACGATTGCCACATGATGTGTTTTTCTTTGTATGTTATTGTTGTTTTTATTTAGCAGAACAATAACATCAGTAAAATCAAGATATTCAACTGTGTGTTCTCAACCCAGTCAATACCCGTGTTTCCAACGCATTTTTTCATCACCTTGTCAATGATTAAACTACTGGACGTAAATGTGCCTAGAAAAACCACACAACAGCCAGTGGCTGTTGGGGTTGGTTCTGCAATGTCCTGTAAAGGATACGCAACTAACCTGTCAATGGTTATGCCAAATATCAGAGGAGATAAAAAATTTTCACTGCAGCTTTAACTGCAGACCAATCACTTAAATCCTCATTTGCCCAGTGATGGTTCAGAGGCTCCATTTTGGAAAAACAAAGAAAAGACCAACTGCCCCTTTGACAAGTACGTCGTAGGATGCAACTAATTATGGGTGTTTCCTTGAAAGTCAGAGTGCATCTGCCCAAGAGACAAGAAGCCAGCAGTCCTGCATAGAAATAAGCGGCAGGTGCAGGCTGTGTGTCCACTTCTGGATAGTTGGTTCTTCACCACCCTGGCAGAAGCACTCTGATTTCAAAGGAAACACACCTAGTTAATCGACTTCTACAACATGCTTTTGGGGGCAGGGGGTAGATGTCTCTTCTGCACCCTCTCTCCCCCCTCCCAATGGGGCCCAGGAACCCACACGTAGAAGACAAATAAAAACAATACAAAAGGACTAAAGGCATTCAAAAGTCTTACCTGATCTGAGTGATCATAGAAAGTGTGGATACACTGTCTGCTGCCAGCATCCCAAATCTTGACACTTTTATCTGAAGACCTTCATACATACAAAAGGCAACAATGTTATTTCACTGTTTAAGAAACAAGATAGACCAACATGCTGAAAGATAGATATCAAATACTAACAAGGTAGACTAACATTATAAAAGAGAGATGTCAAATGTTAACAAGGTAGACCACAATTATAAAAGAGATGTCAAATGTTAACAAGATAGACCAACATTATAAAAGAGAGATGTCAAATGTTAACAAGATAGACCAAAATAAAAAAGATAGATATCAAATACTAACAAGGTAGACTAACATTATAAAAGATAGATATCAAATACTAACAAGGTAGACTAACATTATAAAAGAGAGATGTCAAATGTTAACAAGATTGACCAACATTATAAAAGATAGATATCAAATACTAACAAGGTAGACCAACATTATAAAAGATAAATATCAAATACTAACAAGGTAGACCAACATTATAAAAGATAGATATCAAATAATAACAAGGTAGACTACCATTATAAAAGATAAATATCAAATACTAACAAGGTAGACCAACATTATAAAAGATAGATATAAAATAATAACAAGATAGACCAACATTATAAAAGATAAATATCAATTACTAACAAGGTAGACCAACATTATAAAAGATAGATATCAAATACTAACAAGGTAGACTAACATTATAAAAGAGAAATGTCAAATGTTAACAAGATAGACCAACATTATAAAAGATAGATATCAAATACTAACAAGGTAGACTAACATTATAAAAGAAAGATGTCAAATGTTAACAAGGTAGATCAATATTTTAAAAGAGAGGTGGCACATGTTAACAAGGTAGACTAACATTATAAAAGAGAGATGTCAAATGTTAACAAGGTAGACCAAGATGTTAAATAAGTGTTATTAAATGTTAACATGGTAAGGTGCTTTATTTTTTTTAATAATCCCAAACTTGAGAAATCCACGGGAAATCAACATCTGATGAGACAGTCGACTATTTCAGGGGGTGCAATTCTGCTGTGTTTTGGTGTGGCATATTTCTGTGTATTGGTGCGCAATCGGTTGGTGTACAATACTTTTCATGTTTTCAGTTCCCTTTTTCATGTGAATGTCTAATGTAGTTGGTATCACATCTGCCTTACAATCGAAAGTTCAACATGACTTGTATTTTTCTTGTGTTTTTTTAAATGTTAATTGTAAATTGTAGCTCTTAGTACACTTTCGGCAATGGATCACACAAGTTTTAATTATTTCAAAACACAAAAAAAGATTAATAATACGGATAATACAATTAATGGCTCTACTCCGAGTAACGGTCCTAAATTATCGAGTCTAAGAAAATACCATAACAGGGCATCAATGATTGTGACTGCTGCCAGTGAAACTCCGCTAAATATGTAGTTAAAAACCATGCAGCTAGCTCCACCTTGGTAATATTGTGTCTGTGTTAGTTGCATGCAAAACCCTTCAATTGTTAGTGTCAAGGGTGGGGCTGTTGTGACAGATTCTGGCCGCGGTGTCGTAATTGCAATACTCATTGCCCTAAGCCTAAACTTAGGGTAGAAGTTATACCTAGGACCCAGGGGAGAAGTTAAACCTAGGATCCATGGGGAGAAGTTAAACCTAGGACCCATGGGGAGAAGTTAAATCTAGGATCCAGCGTCAGAGCTGATATTTGCCAGAAATACATCATAATTTTACATATCATAGTGATGAAGGCTGGAACAAGATGCCACAAACGCAAGTCGCTGGAGACAAACACAAGGTGCCTTGGCAACGCACTGGCAAAGCACGCCAACATCAGCTGGAAAAACACTGGAAAAGCCCTATCTTACCACCCTGGAAATTATTAGACTGTCCCGTGACGTCACTGGGGTAAATAAAAATGAAAGTAATCAAGGTAAACCGCAAGTTCTGGAACAAGACCAAAGTCCAGAAGTAAAAGCACAACTAAAACTTTATGCTGGAGTTCACAAGCCAGTGACCGTGAAGAAAAAAGCTGAAGTTTTCTCCAAACCAACAATGGTCTTTAACCCTTTCGCTGCTGCACCCTCCGCCAGCCAACATAACCACTGTGCTGACCCAGGCGAGTGCTAATTTTTTCCTCCTGTGCTGAAAACCTTTTATCCCTCTAAAAGCAGAAGACGCGTTTACAGCGCGGGAAAAAAATTGTACCCCTAAATAAAAAATCTTTAAAGGCGTATGGCTGATCTTTGCGCTGAAAAGTCAGACGCTCCATGGCTACGCCATGAAAACTCATTAACAAAACGAAAACACTACAAACTTACAAAGCAAACACAAAACACTTTAGTAAGCAAATACATGGTTTTAACTATTAATAATAATATCTTTTTGTGTGAAATATTTCAAAACAAGGTGCGACACACAATGCCAAATCACAGTTCTTGCACATGTATCTGGGTTTCCCGTCGTTTTTTGCTTTCTGTGCATACCACACACTTTCTTGTTTAGAATTTCTGCTGTAATGTTACAGACTCTATTATTGAACGGAAATACCTTTGTACTAAACGAAGTGGCAGATCTTCAGTTTTTTTGTCCTCCTACATTTTTTCTCTTTTCCTTGTAATATTTCTGTAGAATTTCTCTTACTAACATTAAGTGAAATTCGGCAACAGGAGTGTTTTCCCCCCCACAAATGCACAGTACACCAACCTTGCTTCACAAAGGAACAAGATAACATGTAACGCATCTAAATCCACCTGAACGCAAGTGACAGGATGTTTAATTAATTATTGCTTCAGTGATCTGTTGCCGAAAATGCTAAGAGCTTAAATTTAGAATAATTTTTAAAAATTTAAAAAAAAAAACGGAGTGTAGGGGTTGAACGCAGGACTTTTTGATTGTAAGGCAGACGTGATACCAACTACACTAGAAATTCCTATGAAAGTGGAACTGAAAATAGGACCAGTATTGTACACTTTGATAGAGAGGCACATTTTTGTCAGTTGTATAGTATATTAGAAACATTAACAATAAAATTAGTCATCATGTCAGTACGTGACCATATCTTCATTTTGATTACTGGGGATCCATTTCAAATGCAGTCGATATAGATAGCTGGGTCATATGGTCAGTCTAGCTCACGGCTAGAAGTACACGTGTCCGCCGGTGTGCCGCGAAGATAACCCACCTCACATAACACACATTTCAAAGTGATTCTTAACTATTACTCCTTGAAAGAAACTCTATTAATTCTTCTTTAACTTTAATTACCCATTTTCTTGTCATTTTGTATTTAAAAAAAAAAAGTAGACTGACGCAAAACCAGAAATATATTTCAGGGCAAAAAAATTACCGTTCACCGACCATGCTTCTATGGTAACAAAGCAACAGGGTAACGTGAAATGCATCTAAATACATCTAAACAAACGTGATATGTGTTTTCAGTGTATGTAAATGTGTCAGTTTGATCAGATTTAGGTAATGTATATTGCGATTTCACTCCCGATAATCACGGCTCTTAGCAATCTGTAAGAAAAGTCGCAGACGAGTTAGCTCGTCCTTAGCAGTGAGGGCACAGAAAATGGAAGACGAGTTAGCTCGTCCTTAGCAGTCTACCGGGCAGACGAGTTATCTCGTCCATAGCAGCAAAAGGGTTAACATGGCCAGAGCATTTCAGTTTCTAATGATCTACTTACCCAGATATAAAATGTGTGTTGTCAGCGCAGAAGTCCACCCCAAGCACCCAGGATCCATGTCCAGATAAAGTGCCTGCCAAGTTTGCATGCTGGCTAGATGGAGATCAGATAATAACAATAACCTTATTAACATGACATTTTTTAAGGCCTTCCCCATTTGGGTTCCAGGGCCCTATCTTGTAAAAACAAAAAAAAAAAAAAAGAAGAAGAAGAAGAAGAAGAACAGACCCACTGCCTCCTTACCCTACCAAGCATGTCATAAAAGTCGACTAACTGTGGGTTTTCTTTTAATGGAGTCAGCAGGCATCTGCCTAAGAGGCAGAGAACCAGCAGCATGCATGCAAATATACCAGATCTGTCTGTTTAGCAGCACCACCAGCAGTATAGCTTGTAGATAATACTAATGCTCCACGATAATTTTCCCATTTCTACTTGTTTTTCTTTCTTCAAAATGGGTATTAATTATTGATTTTTTTCCACTCATGGGTGGAATGAACCGTGGCGCTTGGAATGTGTCGTGGCTTTGCAACGTCCCTTGACATGCACCTTGACTTACGACATATCTGCTCTCACCATGGCTCACTCTGTGGATGATTAATTCGCACTGCTCTAACGTCTAGGGTTGATAACACATATGCCACTCGGCTTTCTTATACATACTATCAGTTTATAACAATTTTTCAGACTTCTATCGCTCGCAACATATTCAAATACTGGTCACACGCACGACTTAGGAACCACATCTTCTACTCAATGCAACCGTCTTCTCTGACTTCTGATGATCAACTGAACTCGAGTCTAGCTCGGGCTTCCCCTCACTTACTCGACCAGCCATAAGTATCTCGTGCTGTCACTTGTAGCATGGATTTTCCGCTTTGCTCTCTGTGTGGGTGGAGACCATGCAAAGCACCTCATCACAATGGGGTAGTTTCTCAGTCAATATGCAATATGGTAAAAAATAATTCTTCTTCTTTATGTTCACTGGCTGTAAACTGGTTGTTGACTTCTGGACTTTAGTCTTTTTCCAATGCTTATGTTCTGTGTGCACATTCATATTTCAGATCTGGCCTATTTGTATTCAGACTGTTGGTTCCTTGCCTCTCAGGCAGGAGCACTTCAAAGGAAAAGTTGATCTCTGCATACTGTTAAATAGCTGTCTTTATTTCCCCAGAACATTTCCTGGTTTGTTTTAAACTTCTGAGCTTGATCACTGCAATGACAGAAATAAAAAAAACATGACCCAGCGGGATCAGATGGCAAGTGTGCTTTCTACTAGACCATCAACACTCCCCACTTTAACTTAATGACAAAGGACTATAACTTAATGACAAAGGACTTTAACTTAATGACAAAGGACTTTAACTTAATGACAAAGGACTTTAACTTAATGACAAAGGACTTTAACTTAATGACAAAGGACTTTAACTTAATGACAAAGGACTTTAACTTAATGACAAAGGACTTTAACTTAATGACAAAGGACTTTAACTTAATGACAAAGGACTTTAACTTAATGACAAAGGACTTTAACTTAATGACAAAGGACCTTAACTTAATGACAAAGGACTTTAACTTAATGACAAAGGACTTTAACTTAATGACAAAGGACTTTAACTTAATGACAAAGGACTAACTTAATGACAAAGGAGCATGAATGGCAGAACAACTGATAAGGTAATCATGCATCTGCACTTCCAGTTTCAGAGCACATGGGTCGCTCCATAGCTGCTCCGTTCCTGGGTCAACAGAAACCACACAGAATGCCTATCACTGTCCCTTGCGAAAAAAATTGACACAGACTGCAGGCTCAGCAAAACCAATAGCATTCGCATGCATTTAATGCATAAGGCAGCTATCAGAAATGCCAACACTATAGTATGGCACTAGAAATGCAGTTCATGTCGATGGGAATAGCAGTTACAAAATATCAGTAGTTTTACATGGAATTGATTGCATACAGAACAACCAGTTCTCTAGCCACAGGCCACTCATCATATTCTGAATCTGCAGCTCACAACACAAACCATGTTGGGCAGTGGAAAAGCATTACAAATGAAATCTGCAGCTCACAACACAAACCATGTTGGGCAGTGGAAAAGCATTACAAATGAAATCTGCAGCTCACAACACAAACCATGTTGGGCAGTGGAAAAGCATTACAAATGAAATCTGCAGCTCACAACACAAACCATGTTGGGCAGTGGAAAAGCATTACAAATGAAATCTGCAGCTCACAACACAAACCATGTTGGGCAGTGAAAAAGCATTACAAATGAAATCTGCAGCTCACAACACAAACCATGTTGGGCAGTGGAAAAGCATTACAAATGAAATCTGCAGCTCACAACACAAACCATGTTGGGCAGTGGAAAAGCATTACAAATGAAATCTGCAGCTCACAACACAAACCATGTTGGGCAGTGGAAAAGCATTACAAATGAAATCTGCAGCTCACAACACAAACCATGTTGGGCAGTGGAAAAGCATTACAAATGAAATCTGCAGCTCACAACACAAACCATGTTGGGCAGTGGAAAAGCATTACAAATGAAATCTGCAGCTCACAACACAAACCATGTTGGGCAGTGGAAAAGCATTACAAATGAAATCTGCAGCTCACAGTGTCATGCCATGCGCTGAGTAGCTGTTTGATCAAACCATATCCTTTCAGTCTTCGCAGAGGAAAATGCAATAGCTAACTACAGTCAAAAATAAAAAAATCTTGCCACAACTAAAACAGTAAGCCTGCCTACCCCCCATATTGACTGGAAGCATAAATGACCAGTAAATAGTTATAACAACAATACTCACACATCGTACACCTTGATGTGACAGTCATCAGATGCAGTGACGAGCAGCTGGCTATCAGGAGAAAAGGCTAGAGCTCTGATAGGCATGGCATGTCCTGACACAAACAAAGTATTATAATAATAGTAATACCAACAACAACAATTACAATAATAATAATAATAATAATAATAATGTGTGTGTCTGACTATAAGATGGGGTCACAAATTCCTTGCTACTTTCCGTTCCCAGAGAATTTTCAAAAACTTTTTTAAATTATGAGGACAGGCCCACTAAAAATAAAAAACAAAAATGTATTTCAAGGAAAAAATACTATTACCTCTGTTTCCCCAAGAATGCTAAAAATATGGATCATGATCTTGTGGGACTTTAAAAAAAATATTCTTAGAATAAAGAAGCAATTTTACCTAGGTCACTAACAAATGCTTGTCTTCTTCTTCTTCGTGTTCACCAGCTGTAAACTCTGGCGGAAAGTTCTGGTTGTTCATTCACTTTTGGACTGCAGTCCTGTTCCAGAACCTGAGTTTTGCGTGAGCATCCGTTTTACAGATCTGACTCATCTGTATGCAGACTGCTAGTTCCTTGCCAGTCAGGCAGATGGACTCTGACTTCAAAGGAAGCTCCCAAATTAGTCGACTCTTTCGACATGCTTTTGGGCAGGCAGTGGGTCTATTCTTGTTTTCCCTATAAAAGGGCCCCGGAAGCCACACTTATCTATTTTTAACATTTTTGGGTCAAATATACAAAGATATACAAGCAATCAATAAACTTGAAAAGAAAGAAGCACTAAATGGCATATATTCCCTGTGGCTTTTGTACGGGTGACTCGAGTTACGGGGAAAGTTTGTGTCAAGGAGGCATTTAAAAAAAAAAAGCTATTTGATTTACAAGAAAACATTCTTAAATGCAATTTTTAGCTAATATATTCATATCCAGACCACCTAAACATCTGAGCATTTCATAAGCTAGATAAGTGGGGAAAGTCACATTTATGGGGAAGCTCATTCTTAGCTTACTAAGCTATATCCTTACGTCCTTTTTAGGATGTAATTTTTTGTTATTTGGAGCCCCACTCTGGCTTTTACCAGGGGCCGCAATATAGGCAGGCCATAAATATGGCCAATTGTCTGAACGCGGTTTCTGGGACCTCTCCACGGTGATCCTCATCCACATGGTGGCACTTTGTGTCATCAGATGTTTATCGCTTGTGTGATGTCCTGGTGGGGTAGAAATTCATTCATTCATTCATTCATGGGGAATAAAACCCGACCAGAAGTCTTGGTTTCACGGCTACTTGGGGTGACATGCCCTTAAGAAAGAAATACCAGACATTACTGATAATCTTAGAAAAATGTAATATATTAGCTCTATCCTAACAAGTGGAATGATTGATTGAACTCCATAAAAATGATCCAGAAACAAACTGACCTTCAAGAGTGTGGATGAGTTTTCCTGTAGTGATATCAAACACATTGACAATTCCATCTAATGCTCCGGAAGCTATGAATCTGCCATCTGGACTCTGGGGACAGAGAAGATATAAGCTACTCTGAACGATGACTGGGAGATATACAGGGCGTTGTAAATGTATGCTAAATTGAATGAAATCCTAATACACATAGATCATTACAAATCTATGCAAGACTACATTCATCCTGATTCATACAGCATCATCCTCATCATCATCAAGTGCCTTGCTGACTGGCCTGGGTGATCATGCCTCTCCACAATCTGAGACGGCATGTACCAGTTTGTGTGCTGACACCCTTCCACACCATGACAAAACGCTGTCAAGAATCTTCTTGTGCTGTCTTCCTCTGTCTCTCTTTCCACAAATCTTTCCTGTGGTCACAACATAGATTTTCTTCCTCCCACAATATGGCCAACAAACAAATGATGACTGTCTTTTTCTGATGTTTGTCTTCAAGCCCTCGCCCCTTTCAAAACATCAGAGTTGCTATTTTTAGCTGTCCAAAGAATTTTAGGGATTTTTCCGTAAAACTAAATCTCCGAGGCCGTTGAAAAATTGTCTAGATTGTTTATTAATTGTCCACGATTCATAGCCATACGTTCATATTGGTTCTATAGGTTAGTTGCGAATCCTTTACAGGACGTTGCAGAACCAACCCCAACAGCCCCTGGCTGTTGTGTGGTTTTTCCAGGCACATTTACGTCCAGTAGTTTGCCATTGCTTTCTGGACGGTCGGCTTTCTTGATACCACTGTTGAAACCAACGCAAGGCGTATCGCCCCCAGCTGAGATCGAACCTGGCGTCCCGGCATTACGAAGCGTTCGCATCGACTTAGCCACAGACCGGACATTGGCTCTATATAGCATGCAATAATTCTTTTCCTAACCTCAAATGACACGGATTTATTGCATAAAATATTCTTCATGAGCAAGTATTAGGGTGTAGTTAAAAGAAAAATATTAGTCCACTGTAAAACTATTATTTGCATGTGAAGTGTTACCGGTTATATGCAGTAATTGAAAGAAACATTTCATGGGGGTGAAAACAGTTCACCTCTGCATCACCTTTCCCATACTGAAAATAATCTGGCACAAGGCTTGGTACATCTGTTATAATGTTTTGGTTGTTTCAGGGCTAGTGTTTATAGAATACTCTAGTTTCTTTAAGGTCCCACTAGGGTGGGATGTTCTCACCTACTATTATGCACATTCACTTGTCCACTGAGCATGGGTTACTGAAATTGAAGGGTGGCATGAGACACACTTGGTAGCCGCGACAATGCAGTCCCTACCAGCACAAAAGTGTTTTTTTCTACTTTATTTTTGCGTTCACCGGCTGTAAACTCCAGGGGAGGGGGTAAGGGGGGAGGGTCTAGAAGTTCTGGGTGTTCGTCCACTTCTGAACTGTTCTAGAAATTGAGTTTTATGTACACATCCGTTTTACAGAACTTTCTTATTTGTATGCAGACTGTGGGGTTCTTGTCTCTAAGGCAGATGCACTCCGATTCTGAAGGAAGCTGAGGAGGCAGTGGGTCTATTCTTGTTTCCCCCACAATGGGACACCGGAACCCACATAGGCAACAGAAGAAATGACATACAACTCACATAAGCAAGACTGAGTGTAAATTTTCCTCTTGTGTCCATCGATGATTCCTTCCTCCCAGAGTCCACTCCAAAGAGGTTGATTTTACCTGAAGGTGTTAGTTAGCAACACATTACCACAAGGGAAAATAACAAATTCATACATCATAATCAATAGAATACATTGTGACAATTTTAAAAAAAATAGTTAAATGTTTTTTGTTCTTCTTAGCGTTCAAAAGCTGAACTCCAGTGGACAGTTGTGCTTCTTTGTCCACTTCTGGACAATGGTTTTATTCCAAAACTTGAGTTTTGCATGCAAATCTATTCTGCAGGTGGTGGCTACATTTAATGCATTAGGCAGTGCAGGAGATCTGGCAATAGGATACTGCTTCTTCATTGGGTATGTATGTACAAATGTATGAGTGTCTATATAATGAGTGTGTATGGCTGTATGTATGTACATATGTATGAGTGTCTATATAATGAGTGTGTATGGCTGTATGTATGTACATATGTATGAGTGTCTATATAATGAGTGTATGGCTGTATGAGTACATAATTATGAGTATGTGTCTATGCATGCGTATGAGCGGGTCATGTGCAATATGTATTTATGTACTTATGAGTATGTTGTATGTGCATGATTGATTATTTTTGTATTTGTGAGTATGTATGCGTATGAGTATGTATGTATGTATGTATACCTGAATGTAGGTATTATCACCCATGCCTGTGAAATCTGTCAAAATTCATATTTTGTAAACTGCCATGAACACAGCATGCTTATCAGATAAAGTACCATTTCTGTGTAAAAGATGCGTTCAGAAGGGCAGAATTTAAAATTGGCTTGCATGACCAATTTGTAACCATTAAAAAATAACATCTGCTCGCTTGTTCCGCATTTGCCCTTAAAGGTTGGTTGACATACTGGCAACATGATATAAACTATGGCTCCCACAATACCTCTGGGCAAAGGAAGAACTACCACAGGAAACACAAGAGTTTTTCTACTGGTTCACAAATGGATAGTTAAGAAAAGGCAAGGCATACTCTTTTTCCCTGTCTGCTTCTCTTCATGATACGCCCAATATACAACTATATTTTTTGTCTTACAGCTGTTGATGCCAGCAGCCGGTGAGCAATTTCTCATAGTTCTTCACTTTTCTTGAATTCATCTATTTCTTCATCTTCCGCTTCTTCGCGTTCACCAGTTGTAAATTCCAGGGTGTTCATCCACCTCCAGACTTCAGTCTTGTTCCAGAACCTGAGTGTCGAATGCACATCCTTTTCACAGATCTGGATGCTTTGTATACACACTTTTGGCTCCTCGCCTCTCAGGCAGATGTACTTCGAAGGATGCTCCCAATTAGTCGACTCCTACGTTTGTTGGGGAGACAGTGGGTCTATTCTTGTTTTCCCCAAAATGGAGCTCCAAAACCCACAAGGAGAAATCATCCCTTTAATGCTCATTAGTTTTCCTAGATATTTGTTTTCGGATGTGCTGTAATTCATCAACTACGAGATGCACTAATTTTTTTTAAATATACGGTATAAAAACAGTGTGAGTTATTTTATACAATAGTAGTCGATTTTTTACCAACGGATTTGTTAGAAAATATCCCATGCAGGGTCTCATTTGGGAATGCCCATTCAGGGGCTACTTAACATGGGAAAACATTTTTATAAAACTAAAAGTCCTTTCGTTCTGCAATAGCTTTTGCGCTTGTTTTTACGCACAACACTGTTTTGCAATTGTTACATAAAGTCTTTCAAAAAGTATGGTATTTCAATGCCACAGATAAAACTAAAGATGAAGTAATTTATGAAGATATTGATTCGTCATTAGACACCAGACGGGGTCAAGCTAAAGAGCTATCTATTATATGGATGAGAGTTTTGACAGTTATGAAGAGTTTTCTGGATTGTTTGATGGGGTCATCTTATACTTGAGGAAAAACGGTATTTAACTTTTGTTTCCTTGTATTTACTGGCTCTCCACCAAACATAAGACAGAACTATTAACCCCTTTACCCCGAGAAGTTGCAAATCCGGCACACCCGGTAGTGGCTCAATTCTGCAGATGCTGTTTATCCAGCATTTCTACAGTGCTGTGCTTCCAATATGCTTGTTTAATGCCCCTGGTTGTGGGTGTGTATGCATTTGCGCAGTGTTCAAGAGGCCAGGATATGAACATATTTACCAAAAACAGCTTTTAGGGAGGTTTTCTTGTAAATAAATGGCTATTATAACGTCATTTTGATGTCTTAATTTACCCATAGACTAAGTGTTTGAATTCAGATGAGGCCACAGGGTCACAGTTTGAGTCATCCGATACATTTGTATAGACCCAGGAGAACGACATCCAGTTAAGTCTTCGTTCTGTTCATGTTCACTGATTACTCTCTTTCATATTTTCAGGAAAATTATGAACCCATATTCCAGTATAAAACACAAAAGTCACCTGTATGGCTTCCTGAGGCAAGAAATCTGGCATCGGGTGAGAAGGCAATTGTCCATGCATCCACTGTGGGCAGTTAATAAGTAATGCTTGTATTAAAAAATAAAAAAAATATAAATTAAGAGGAAGAGGAGGAGATGAAGACCACCAAGCAGAGGAAGAAGTAGAAGATAGAGGAGAAGAAAAGAAAAAAATGAAAACAAAAATAGGAAGAAGGAGGAGGTGAAGAAAGAAAGAAAGAAAGAAAGAAAGAAAGAAAAAAAGAAAGAAAGAAAGAAAGAAAGAAAGAAAGAAAGAAAGAAAGAAAGAAAGAAAGAAAGAAAGAAAGAAAGAAAGAAAGAAAGAAAGAAAGAAAGAAAGAAAGAAAGAGGAAATTACACTATTCAAAGGTTATTACCTCTCCTTCCATGATGCTTAAAAATGAAAATTACATGTTCTCTTTACAATCATGAAGATTTCATTCATTTATTTACGTCTTCATTCATTCACTCAGGCTTTTATCACACAACAGAAGGAAAATCTACCTGGCCATGCAGCAATACTTTTAACCTCATCCATCCATCCAATTATACGTTTATCAACACACACAGTACACAAACATATACGCACGCACAATGATACTTTTAGCCTCATCCATCCATTGAGGCTATTAATCATAAAAGAGGCTGCAAACCTGCCTGGTCCTGCATCAATACTTTTAGCTGCATCCATCCATATATCTTTACTTTTTTAAACACACGCGCACATGCTCTCTCTCACACACAAACGCAACAGACACAAAAGACAGTAAACATACCTTGTTCTGCAGAAATACTTTTAGCCACATCTAATTATATATCTTAATTTTTTTACACACACGCACTCTCTCTCCCACACACACACAAAGGACAGTAAACACACCTGGTCCTGCAGCAATACTTTTAGCCACATCCAATTATATATCTTTACTATTTTACACACACGCGCACATGCTCTCTCTCCCACACACACACACAACAGACACAAAAGACAGTAAACATACCTGGTCCTGCATCAATACTTTTAGCCAACTTTCCATTTTCCAAGTCCCAGATTCGAACATGACTGTCCAGACTGCTGGATGCTGCCACTATCAGGTTATGTAAGGAACTAACCTATACTTTTTAGCATAAAATTAGAATGGTTTGAACAGATTTACTTTCAGAGGACAGGTGTTACTGTATGGGTTCCGGGGAGGTAGTGGGTGGGGTTGGAAGATCCACCGCCCCTTAACTATTTAAGGCCCGAGTAATGTTGTGAGTGTTGATTGATAAGTTTCGATTTTCTTAAACAACACTATCAGCGTCAATGGTGTGTCCCGTACATATTGCTTCGCACACGGCTCCGTACTTGTTTCTAATGTTCGGAACTAAAAGTATTCAGGGAAGGTTACTCTAACGATTTCCCTTTAATAACATTCCTCATCCCAAGACACATGTGTATAGATTGATTGTATTCATAGCTACATTATTTTCAAGAGTGAATTTTCTAAGTTCATTTTAAAGAGTGCATTTTCTAAGTTCATTTTAAAGAGTGCATTTTCTAAGTTCATTTTAAAGAGTGCATTTTCTAAGTTCATTTTCAAGAGTGCATTTTGTAAGTTCATTTTCAAGAGTGCATTTTCTAAGTTCATTTTCAAGTTCCATGAATACCAATGTTCCAACCACAAGTGCAGCCCGCAAAGAGTCTCTCTATACCATTTTAGCTCCAAAGCTCTTTTTTCTTCCATGACTGACATCCGTATGTTGTTATAAGGAAGATGCATGCTCTCAAATTTTGAATCTCTTGCTGGTGCCTTATCACAGAAATGCAAAGGACACTGTTCTGATTACACTTTATTTTTGATTGCGGGTGAACCTCTGTATTCAACAACTAGTAAAATGATTCTGGGTCAAGCTTATTACACATGCAAGGATACATGAGCCATCAGTGCTGATGTCCACAGATACCACTCCAAGTTGATGACCTTCTAATACGTGTTTCAACTGTAAGCTGTTGTCCTGCCTGTAGAGAGGAAATCAGTTATTTTAATGCATAAATTGGCCAATGCCATTACAGGCATAACTCTAGCTGTGCTTAAATGTGTTCTTCGGCAGTTGAAGATATGCACAGAAATACGGTTTCAAAATAATGACTGTCACGTAAGTAAAGGACCATTTCCCCACCCTTCAGGCATTTTGGGCTTATAGGGCTAGGCCTATATTTTATAGACCAATCAGCAATGGGTGGGTGATGTGGTCAATTTCATGGTGGCCATCTTTACTTCCCAGGACTGCACCTTGTACCCATTCAAGGCTGGGTCAAACCGAGGTCTTTTTTTTTTTGTGTGAAAAAAGTATGGCTCCATCGGGGCCCGAACCAATGATCTTACGACCCACAGGTGAGCGTCTAGTCGCTACATCATAATGGTAAATTCCTAATCTGCTGCTAATCCGCTGTACCTAATTTTCAGTGCTTTGCGTACTACGTGATAAAACGTGTCACAAACTAAAAATAACCAACCAATCAAGGTCAAACCTTGTGGTTAGTCACTGAAAATGGCTGCTCCTGTGTTTGGATTTACTTTGTCTAACGTGCATTTTTTTTTATATTTTACAATGAAACAAGCGGCTGATGAACCAAGCACTTTGACAGAAAAGTGACGTAGGTCCAGGCTTTTCACAGTCCAACAGATGATTGATACTTTGGTTGATTCAGACTCTGAGGAATCAGAATTTTAATACGTTCCAGTTGAAGTGACACAGTCAGTGAGAGCTTGAGTGATGAGGAGAATCTTGAACCTTATAGATCTAGGACTAAATCAATAGTAAGAGAAGGAAGTGTGTCTCTCAAACAGCAACATCTGGTGCTCACTTTGTCAAACAAAGCTGATCCTGCTGGGTGGATTGGCACAAAAAAGGTAAAATATTGGCGCTAGATAAAAGATAAACCTATTTTCTACAATGTCTCCAAGTTTAATCTTATTCTAATCACTTGTTTGCATGTAACTAAATTTTCTTGTATATCATGTTGGTTTTTTTTGCGTTAATGCCCAGGAGCTCAGGTACAGGGGGCAGCTAGGTTCAGGGCCTCAGGTATGGTAGGGTTAAGCATTTGAAAAAAAAACAATAAATTAAATGTGCCACCAAAAAAACTTTCAACAAGAAAACTGATCCCAACAAAAAACGCCTGAAGAAGCTGGAACAAATCAAAAGGAACAAACATTGCAGCTATGCTTTTATGCTTTCCCATGCAGGTTCTGGAACTGCACTGGGAGGGAGGGAGAGAATTAGAACAACTGCTTCTTAACAAATAGTAAAAGGTGACCAATCTGCTGAAATAGGATGTGTTGGGTTGAAAGGCACAAATATCCCACTCAAGCTGTAAACCACAATGTTCCTTTTAAAGATGAAAAGCAGCTATGCTATAAAACATCACAATACAATTATGTCACAAACAACAACAAAATCAAACACATGAAGAAGCAGTGAATACTTCTCGAAGCAGGATGTCAAAATTCGTATTAAAGATATCTTGCCAGTTTGGATGTGTCTGTCAAAAGGTACACATTTTTACAACTCTGCTGCCAACAGACAAAAGTAATCAATTCCCCTTGTCTGGCCAAATAAAAAAGCACAAGAATCACATAATCTCTAAGTAACTTACCATTTCCATACTTTCACTGTGTCGTCAATGGATCCAGTGACTACAATTTCGGCACCACTCGGGTCTTTCTCATTTTTCCCGAAAGCACAACTCCAAATGCTGTCCTCATGAGCTAAAGGTAACGAGGCAGACAAATTAAGCTGGTATAAATTATAGACTAATGGGTATACAGATAAAGAAACAGAGAAAGACAGTTACAGTAGGTAGCTAGATAAGCAGAGACATACAGACAGAAAGAGGGTAGATAGCTAGATAACTAGCTAGACAGATGGGTAAAGAGATACAAAGATAAGCAGGTAAGTAGATAAAAGGGCACTTTGCCCAACTGCATTGTGATTCACAGCAAGTCTGCAATATCTGTGCCTTGCGGCCCAACACATCTGATTTGAGCAAACCTCTTGTTCAGCGGTTTTCAACCTGCCGGTCATGACCCAGGGGTCATCTAAGACCATTGAGAAAACACATATTCATTGAGGTTATGAAGGAAAATAATTGTCTGGGGGTTGCCACAATGTGAGGGAACTGTATTATAGGGTCGTGATATTAGGAAGGGGTTGAGAGCCAGTGCTCTAATTAATAATGCTTTTTGGGGCCCCCCAAATGGGGCCCTGGAACCCAAACAGGAATATTCAGTGGTACAAAATGGAAAAATAATGTTTTTCTCTTCTGGTTCTGTTTGCCTGACTATGTTTAGATTTGAAGAGTTCTTGGTCCAAAAAAAGTATACTTACCTATTTACGCGTATCTAGGTGCAGCCCATTTATGAGACAATTATTTTAGGAAAAAATTTTCTTACATTTTCACTGACAGACCAAATCTGAAACAGTAGTACCTGTAAACAGTGAAAGATGGGCAGCATAAGAGCAAGTTACAGTCACAAGTTTAAGCTGCAAACAGTGCCTTATGTGCAAGTGACAAAACAAAACGACCTTGTGATTTGGCTACGGACAACAATGGTGCAGCGATTTCATGACACCTACAAAAAGAAACTGTTTGGTTTCAAAGAAGTTACAGAAGACACACAACCTCAGCATGGGGGCAACTGGAACTGCAGATGAAACTCCTGTTTATTAATAAATTGCGCTGTTGCTGTTCGTCCATCACAGGTGATGATGATCAGTCCTTTCATCCAATGGTGACTGTACAAGCGACATTTAGGCCTAATATCCTGAATGTTAGCCACACATTATTTTTTATCAAGGATTCTCAGTTCAAATACGGCCTAGTCATGATTTAATATGGTGAGTGTTTTTCTTTCAAAGTCAGAGTGCATCTTCCTGAGAGGCAAGATACCAACAATCTGCACACAGATAAGTCAAATCTGTAAGATGGATGTTACTATATATATATATATATATATTTAAATGCAAAACTCAACATCTGGAACAAGATTAAAGTGCAAAAGTGGAACAACACTTGGAACTTTCTGCTGGAGTTTACAGCCAGTGAAAGCTGAGAAGAAGCTTAACTAGATGTGCGCAGATGAAGAAAGAAGAAGTCTTAATTACTTACCCTGTTCTTGCTTGTATATCAGCGTCTGCTGTTGATGGAAAATAAGAAGACAATGTTATGTCTCATTTTCACTATTTTGACCATTTTTATAAAAGACTGGTGGAAAGCTAACAGGGACAACTGAAAGGAAAGCAGCAGTGCAATAGAGACACACTCTCTATCCAAGCAGGATAGATGTTTGCTGAAATGGGATGTGATGGGCTGAAAGGTGCAGATATTAAGGTCTAGCTGTAAACCAAAACACTATAAATAATAACACACAATAAGGATAGAAGTCAAAATGGAACAATCAACACAATGGAATAACAAAGAAACATGCAAAAACTTCAGGAATGGCTAAACAACAGGAAGGTACTCAGGGAAAAAAAATATAAAACCCACAACAAGACCTGTACAAGCAGGAAAGGATACAGTGAAACTGATAGAGATACTAAGCCACATAATTTGATAAACAAACCCAATTTTAGCTAACAAAGTTGGTGCAAGAAACACTCACAATTATAAGCCAATTATTATCCTTTCTTTTTCAGAAGAAGCTGGCTGAACGTGATGATTTTTGTTTTATTGTCTCAAAAACTGATGTTGATGAATCACAACACAATGTGCCTAGCACCATTTCATGGAAGAATGCAAAAGAGCAGCTGCTTGAGTGATTAGAATACTGGACTCTCATACAGAAGACCCAGGTTTGAATCCTTAGTAAGGTAAGGAAACATTTTTCCAACTAAGGGTTAAAACTAAATATTTATCACGACTGCACTATGTGGCCCTAAATTGTCAGGCTCAAAGATTTCTCCCCTGCACAGTTCATGTGACTGCACTAGCCACATGATCCTAAATCCTCAGGTTGTTGGTATCATGTCTGCCTACATTCTTCTGTACTGCCAATCACTTCTGATACAATGGGTTTTACCCTGCTATAATGCTTCTTCAGCGATCTCTGGTCATATGCTTAATCCCCTGTAAGCCATAAACTGGGATGTCATTTTGAGGTCTCTTAGGTTTTCTCAAAGCTTAGTTGTCAGGTCTACTGGATGTGGTCGCATGTTTCTTTGCAGCTCCTCCTGGAGAGGAGTATTGTAAGACCTATTTAACCCAGCAGGTATGTGACCTAGACTAGATCAATCACGTAAAAGAATGGATGAATATACCAGTAGACATGCATGACATCTCTAAGGTTGTCATCCCACTGGGGAGGTACTGCAGTGATCAGATTCCTGCTCATGTAGATGCAGAGGTAAGGGCACTGATAGATCAGCATTCACAGACAGAAGACATCATCATCTACACAGATGGATCTGTGAAGCACAGATCAAGGTCAGCATGGGCATACACAGCATAAAGGATGGGGAAGACAATAAAAGAAGACAGCAGTGTTTACCAGGAAACTTTGTCAAGCATGACCATGGAGATAGCCGCTGCTTCTGCAGCACTAGCATGGGCAGAATAGCAAACAGGCCATACAGGCAGTAATTGTATCAGACTCCATGAACATGCTCAGAAGATAGCAACAGGCGGTATGCGCTATGAATGGATAGAAATAATTAAAAATTCACACTTAACCTCCCTCATCTTGATCAACACACTTAGCCATGCTGGCGTTAAGCGAGAGGACCAACCGGCAAGCAACACTGGAATACATGTGGGAAGAAGTATGGACACAGCAGATAGCATTAAGGCTGTATGGACTGGGCTAGCGGATAATGATGAATCTCTGACACTAATACAATTGCATGATGTGGGGGCAAAGCATGGTGAAGCACATCTAGGCTGCCTTTGAGGCCAAGATAGGAGACATTATAACCAGCCTCTCATGGAAGCAATCAGTAGAAGTACCTTTTGAGTGGCTGCTGCATGGGAGGACTGAGCATGCACAGGAATGCTCAATGTGCAGTGATGTAAACTGTGATAACATAACATAAGACGTGTTCAGGGGTCTGTTGAGCCTGTAGACACTGGCAGAGTTTTTTTTGGGGGGCTCATACCTAAATTTTATGAGTGTTTGTTGAATTTACAATGTCCTTTGTGTAAAAGCCAGAAACTGTAACTTGGTCAGTTCTGATTAGATGTTCAAGGAAGTCTCTTTTTTATAGCCAGTGTTTGATTTCCCATCTGTTTTTGATGTTCTCCTAATGAGGGTTTTCACTTCTGAAAATACAATGGCTTATATATTTGCTGTTTGGCACTGCCTTCCTCAGCTTTAGTGCTTTTATTTCCTTTGTTTCTACAGTAAAATGGAATCAACTGCAGGTGAATCTGCCTTTTCTGACAGCTCTGCGAGTTGCTTTTTTTTAAAAAACTATGAAGGGTATTGTATTGTCAGTATATTTAGCATTTAGGGCCTGTATGGCTGACAGTGAGTCTGTGAAGAAGACCATCCTATATGTAGATGTTAGCAGCTGATGCGTGTACTGTGACGCAAATTATGGCTGATAGTTCTGCCTGTGTGGCAAAACTGTCTACTTCTCTCTTGGCCTTGGCCTAACTCAGTCACTATTTCTTTACTTAGCCTCCCTCACTTCCCCTCCAACCTTCTTCTCACGGCGTAAACTTCTTAAGATGGTTATCAATTGTAACGGCTAAACAAACATAACTCTAGTGTACTTTACTGTTCTGGACAGGTAAATGAGCCATTCAGATAGCGGATAATGATGAATCATTTTTTCTACGAATGTCATTCATGGTTACAATTTTATTATGGGCAGGTCAGTTAGAGCAGCTGTTTACGGAACGGTCTCTATCTACTAACGATTGCATCGATAACAGGTTTTGTTAAATTCCTTCATCCGCCAACTTTTACCTTAAAAACAACAAGAACATTTGAGCTAAATTGGTATTAAACATGTATGCTTTGAGTTATCATATATCGATAACAGTACCTAGCCAGGTTTTCACTGTTTTAAAAAAAAAAAAACTTACAGCATTCATGTTTGATCAGCGGGTAATGTTTTGTTGTTAGGAATCAAACTGTGCCAACAGGAAGCAACTCCTTTCTGATTCTGGTAGTTACTGGCCTTGTGTAAACTTTCCATCATCATCGTGTGGCAGGCATTTCGGAAAACGTCGCTCACATCACAGCATAATGCTATGAAATGATTGTAGGGAGAGGAGGGATGTGTTGCTAATTTCACTTCTCCTTTTTCTTTTTGTGAGCCAGTAAACAATGTTGAGCTTAAAACAGATCAACACGGACTGAAGAGATTGGTGCCGCAAGGAGTGACCAGTGTTGACGTTCAACGTTAAGAAGAAACGCGGGACGGACATACAACCAGACTGTTACTGGTACCATCGGAATTCTGGGCTTGCTCCTGAAGATGGGGACATGGCTCTCATGGGAATGTCCCGAGTGCTATGCTGTCGGTTCTTAACTCATATTCTACTTCTTTTGCTGCAGGGGCTGTGTGACGTGCGGAGCTTCATTGTAACGAGTGTAAAAGTGACTAGGGGTGTCAGAAGTTAACAAGTGGCATCAACACTTAACATGCCACTGGCCAAGAGTAATGAATGCTGAAGCTTCCGTAGTAGAACAAGAACTCTCTTTAAAAGTTCCATTTGTGTATTGACAAATGCAATGCAATGATCAATTTCAAGAATACACATGCAAGTAATAATCAACTCGTTCAACCAAAGCTCGCTCATACATCCATGTAATGATATGTCCTCACGATAGGTCGCAGTCCGACCTTGAGATCCAGACGATTTACTTTCTCCTCGGACAAGTCCGAATTAAGCAATGAAAGTATACCGGCGTACTGCCGAAAATGTAACGTTTACCAGCTTCCTGCTGAGGTCTTGGAGTCCCGGGGTATAACGTCCTCAAGGATCCAACTTTATATAACGTTTGCTTCCGTGGGATCCCGGGGTAAAGCGTCCTCAAGGATTCCCACGTCCGTCTCCTTCGGACTATAAACATCAACTGCTTTTGACAACAACAATATCATAACAACGTTACGTATTGTTTTGACGTCTTATTTGCTCACTCCGTACCGGTGCGTTCTGGTGCACATTCGCACGCGACAGCTTTTCCCCCCTCCCGAGGACGACCGAGCACTAGGACTTGTCGTAGTCTCGGTCGGAAAACTGGAGTCATGTCGCGGCAAACAGCACCAGTACGAGAGAGCAAATAAGAACACTTGAATACACACACACTCACTCCTCAATATATCGTCAATACATTACTAAATGCATGCAAAATATAGATTCCTGACTTCACTAAGCATTATTATCAACAACATTATTGTTATCCAAATTATTTTCATAACAGCATGCATTTTAAATATCATGTAAATTCAACAAATAAACATCAATCCTATTCCAATGCCTCTGGGGTGCGCGACAAAAAATCGGCTAAGACATTTTCTTTCCCTGGGCGATAAATAACTGTGAAGTTGAACGTCTGTAGAAACATTGTCCATCTCAATATGCGTGAGTTTTTGATGGGTGCTGAGTTCAAGACTTCGAGTGGACGATGGTCTGTCAAGATAAAGAAGTGACTGCCATACAGGAATTGGGTAAACTTCCCTACTGCCCAAAAAATGGCTAGTGCCTCCCTCTCACCCACGCTGTAACGGCATTCAGTAGGAGACAGCTTCCTGCTGGCATAAACAACAGGGAGTAGGGTGCCCTCTCTGGATTGCAACAACGTCCCACCAATCGCCACATCGGACGCATCTGTGGATACATAAAACGGCAGAGACAAATCTGGCAAACACAAGAACGGATTACTATTAAATGCCTTTTGTAATCTCTGGAGCGCGTCCTCGCACTCTCTCGTCCATATAACCTTCCCTGGCATTCCTTTCATCGTCAATGAGGACAACACGGCTGTAATGGTTGAATAGTTAGGAATGAATTTGGCATAAAAGTTACATAAACCCAATAACGCACGCACTTGTTTCTTCGTTTTTGGTGTAGGGATGTTAAGAATCTTACCCACCGTAGTGGCTTCGGGTTTACGGACCCCGTGTCCTACAACGTGACCGAGGAACGTGACCTCCTCGAAAGCGACCTTCACTTTAGTTGGTCTAACTGTCAGATTAAACGATTTTATGCGTTCCAGTAATGTCTTTAGACCTCGAATATGTTCGTCTAAATCATTATGGAAAAGCAGAATGTCATCCAGATAATGAATAACATCATTACGACCCTGTAACAACTTGCGTACGAGGCGGGTGAAGGTAGCCGGTGCTCCCGAAAGCCCGAAGACCATATAGTTGAAGTGAAACAAACCTTTGTTCGTCTGAAACGCGGTGTATTTTTTGGAATCCTCGGCTAAGGGAATCTGCCAATAACCCTTGGTAAGATCTAACTTTGTAAAATACCTAGCCTTCGACAATGCAACAAACATATCTTCCATATTTGGGATATTTTCAGCATCTACAACCGTGATTCGATTCAATTTTCGGAAATCTATGCAGATCCGAAGGCTTCCATCTTTCTTTCGGACAACCACTATAGGAAAAGCATAGGGTGATGTCGACGGTTCAATTATACCCCACTTAATCATGTTATCGATTTCCTTATCCACGGCATCCCGATAATGAAAAGGTATAACATATGGTTTCATTTTGATGGGTTTATGATCTATTAATTCAATGAAAGTATACCGGCGTACTGCCGAAAATGTAACGTTTACCAGCTTCCTGCTGAGGTCTTGAGTCTTTGAGTCCCGGGGTAAAACGTCCTCAAGGATCCAACTTTATATAACGTTTGCTTCCGTGGGATCCCGGGGTAAAGCGTCCTCAAGGATTCCCACGTCCGTCTCCTTCGGACTATAAGCATCAACTGCTTTTGACAACAACAATATCATAACAACGTTACGTATTGTTTTGACGTCTTATTTGCTCACTCCGTACCGGTGCGTTCTGGTGCACATTCGCACGCGACAGGCTGCTACTACTACCGTTTAAACTATTACTACTTCCTGCTCCTCCTCTTCCACTTCACCTTCTTTGAAGCATAGGCCCTCAGTCTTCTCAATCCTAGGTGTCCTAACTTTTGCCCTCCCTTCTTCCTCCCGTGCCCTTTCCTGTGAAACATATGGTTCTGGTTCAACCCCCATCTAAGACAAACATTTCACTAGACTAGTACGGTTTTGCCCAGTAGACATGCATGGCATCTCTAAGGCTGTCATCACACTCGGAAGGTACTGCAGGGATCAAATTCCTGCGGCGGTAGACACAGAAGTAAGGGAACTGATAGATCAGCATTCAGACCCAGAAGATACCATCATCTACACAGATGGATCTGTGAAGCGCGGATCAAGGTCAGCATGGGCATACACAGCGCAAAGAAAGGGGAAAACAATACATGAGGACAGCGGCGCTTACCAGACAACCACGTCAAGCATGACAATGGAAATAGCCGCTGCTTCTAGAGCTTTAGCATGGGTATCCGAGCAAACCGCCACACAGGTAGTAATTGTCTCAGACTCAATGAATATGCTTCAGAAGATAGCAACAGGCAGTATGCGCTCTGAATGGATAGAAAGCATCAGGAAATCGCACTTAACCTCCGTAACCTGGATCTACACACCGGGTCATGCGGGCGTGAAGGGAAATGAGCGAGCAGACCAACTGGCAAGCACTGCACTAATGATTGCAGGAAAAAGTATGGACAGAGCAGACATAGTCAACGCTGTACGAACCGGGCTAGTGGAGAATGAGGAATCCCTGACACTAACACGATTGCGTGACATGGGAGTTAAGCATGGTGATGCACGTCTTTGCCGTCTTCGAGGCCGAGAAAGGAGACAATATAACCAGCTTCTCATGGGGACAATTAGTAGAAGTACTTTAGAGTGGCTGCTGCTTCGGAGAACTGAGCACGCATGGGTATGCCCAATGTGCAATGACATTAATTGTGATAACAGAACATAAAATAACATCTTAGTAGGGAGTCGGCAGTACGAAACCCAAGTTCAAGGTGTCTCCTTCGTGCCAAAGAACTGCATGGCTGTTGGGTGAACAGTCGTTAACGAGGGCAGGCAGGTTGTTGTAGGGGCGACGCCTGCTGGTGGATGTAATGTCCTAAGTCCCTTCCCCAGCTAATAATGAGGGTACTGCTGGGGTGACCGTTTATTAACCCTCATATAATTCTTCCGGTCAAAATGGACGCTAGGTACGGCCACCTTTTTTTTTTTTTCTTTTTTTTTTTTTTTTTTTTTTTTTTTAAAGCCGTGGCAAATATTTTTCCAGACGGTGGCCGTTGCATTTTTGCTCCATTTGTAGACTGGAAGGATGTAGTTTCGTCGCCCAGCTTCTGACTTGAGTGCATGGCGTGACACTGTGAGCTGCGTTTGTTTTTCGTTGGCACAGGAGCGGAGCATGTGTGGGGTGACCCGTTTGCTATGAAGCTGAAACTAGGATTACCAGATTACCAGATGTCGCGCGCCCACGTGGGTAAATACACTGATATAGTGAGGGTGTGGGTTTGAACCTTAACAATGCCCACCCACGTGAGGGGTGTGGGAGAAAACTGGACTATTATCTAAGCTATGTTGATCCTAGACAGTCCTGGATAGCCAAGAAAACAGCGAGTGGCTCGTTCCATGAAATGAAAGTTGCTGTACTTGTATCCACAGGGGATACACCCACTGTGATATTATCTCGATACACAGTTAACCCCTTCGACTATTCTCCTCTCCTGGCATTCCTTAAAAGCCCCCATCAAGTGATTTAAATATTTGTTAGCTGAAGTAAACTAATATGCACAAAGACACTTGAACCTAAGTACACAATTTACTTAACTCTGTGTAACAACATCAAAAAGATTTATTTAATAAATCGAAATTAAAATAAAATGAACTTGTTTAGGCTAGTAGAGTTGGGATGATGTTATAGATGACATTAAAGTTGTACATAACTTAGCTCATCAGGACAGTTCTCGGCTTGAGACCCTGCCTATCTTTTCCAGTTTGTCGTCCTCAC